TGATTTTGTTGGGTTGTGCGGTGCGAAGAAATCCAAGAGAAATGGGACTCGCCGGAGATTGAGCGGCGGCTTAAAGAGCAGCAGCTCTCAGAGGAATCAGTTTATTGGTCTAGCGGCGTCGAAGAAAAATTGGGCATCATCCATTAAGTCTGTTCTTGATCTTGAACGCGTTAACGGTGTCTCCCGGCAACAGTCCTCTGATCTGAAACCAAAGGTGGGGTTGACTCAAAACAGTTCTCTTGTTTTTTGTGAGCTGGAGGGTCTTGTTCGATATAGTTTTCTCTTATTATTATATTATTACTTGATGTTATTTGCAACAGTTGAAATGGAAATTTTAGAAGTGTTCGGTTACTATGATTTAGTTTTTCATTTTGTTTTTAGCTTCTCTGTTACAATTTCTTTTATTCTTGGATGCTGGAGGTAGTGATGAGGTTGAGTGGAACTGGAATCTTTTGCTGAAGTTTAGTAGTGATGTTTTATAATGCTGTTTTTAGTTGACTTTTGTGCCAAGTTGTGTAGTGTCTGTATTTGTTTGCACGCTTCTTGCAAATGTCTGAGTGTGTTAAGTTGGTTTTTCAATTGTTGACTACTATTCTATGATAGTTTGTTTGGTAAAACATTGTGTGGTTTGGCCCTTACATGTCACAGATGCTCTGCGTGATTTTTTAGATTTAATATTGCAAAAGACTGTTTAGTGACATTCTAGTTGCTCTTGAATGTTGTGTCCCATTTGGTCACAATGTGAGTGATATGCGGCTACATGTTGAGCTTTATACGTGTCATGTCCTTGAGGTATCTCCAATTTGAAAACCTTTTGGAGTGATTTGAGTTATCCTGTCAGATAGTCAAACTCAAAAGGGCAGGATGATAGTGGTCACTAAGTCTGTGATGATTTTAAGAATTTATTAGTATTCTATGAAATTCTGGGATGTGGTCTGTTACAAGAATCCTAGATACTCTTAAGTTTCAGATTGAGTTGCTTCTTTGTCATGCTTAAGATTTTTTTTTTTTTTTTTTTGTTTAATGATAAAGTTCTTTGTATTAGATGTTGATGAAATTCTGATTGTTTGAAGTAGTTTGTAGAGGTATAAATATGCCCATGAAAAGTTAATGTAATTAAGTAGTCTTTCGTGACCATAATTCCACGACAGTACAACACGGTGATCCTTACGAAACGACCATACAGATTAGTGCAACTCTAAGCTTCCTGTCATTTGTTTTTTCTATATTACGTATGAAGCTTCAGTTTTCTTCTATCATAGTCGCATGTTAAGTTTTCCTAAATGTTCAATATGATTTCTTATGAATTTTCAGCAAATTCACTGCACAACTTTTTACTCACTTAAATATTACATGTCGGATATATACTTCTCAGGCCGCAAATTTGGAAGATATATTATCTGAAAGAGGCGCTTGTGGAGTTGGGTTTATTGCGAATTTGGACAACAAATCATCACATGGAATTGTTAAGGATGCCCTCACAGCCCTCGGCTGCATGGAGCATCGTGGAGGGTGTGGAGCAGATAATGATTCTGGTGATGGGTCTGGAGTTATGACTTCAATCCCGTGGGAACTTTTCAATAATTGGGCCAACGAGCAAGGGATGAGTGCATTTGATCCGCTGCACACTGGTGTTGGTATGGTTTTTCTTCCACAGGACGCTAAACTAATGGAACAGGCCCAAACAGGTCAGCATAATATTTCACGAATATATTTATTCTAGTTCAAGATGATTCATCAATTTCTTTGCTAGCTTTTTATGATTTTTGCTGATAGGTGTTGCCATCGATTTGTTTTTTAGTTGACTATGTTTTGAAGTGGTCCAATCTCTTTTGCTCCTTGACTTTTGCTCTTTCTCTTTTGCCCCAATCTCTTTCTTTTGTTTTGTTTTGTGTTGTTTTGTTTTGTTTTGTTTTATTTTGTTTTGAGCGCTTTTTTGTGTTTCTTACCACTGTTTCTCTTGGGTTTCATCTCTAGCCTACCCCAACTTGTTTGGGACTAAAAGGCTTTGTTGTTGTTGTTGTTGTATGTTTTGCAGTGGTATCATTTCCAACTCATCAATTGATCATCAAAATTAGGCATTTTTTTTCCACAACTTGTTATTGGTCATTAGTATCATTTAGAGTAGCATGAGAGGAGGAACAAATGGGTGTTACATGGGTTAATGTGTGTTGTTTGCACAACTACGTGAAGAGAAAGGTAGGATTGTGAACAACTGCTGTGTAGTTATAGTATATTATCTTTTGGAATTAAAAAAAAAATTCAAATTAATAATATATGATTGAGGCACATGATTATTCAGTGTATTCTTCAGTTGTGAATAGTTCTTAATATCATTGAAAATGATATGTACAAACTGGATCTTTTGAGCTCATGGAACCAAGATGGCTTTCCTGATTCTTACTATTCAAGTAAAATCACGTCCTTTTTATTTCAACTTATCAGGGTATGAGTTATATGAAATTATTTTATCTGCTCTTGCAGCTATTCTGAACATATTTAAACAAGAGGGTCTTGAAGTGCTTGGCTGGAGGCCTGTACCAGTAAATACTTCCGTGGTTGGTTATTATGCTATGGAGACTCTGCCGAATATACAGCAAATATTCGTTCAAATTTCTAAAGAAGAAAACATTGATGACATTGAAAGAGAGCTTTACATTTGTCGGAAACTTATTGAAAGTGCAGGAAGCTCAGAACCATGGGGAAATGAGGTTTACTTTTGCTCGCTGTCCAATCAAACTATTGTCTACAAGGGAATGCTTAGGGCGGCAGTTCTTGGCCAGTTTTATTTTGACCTACAAAACAGTCTGTATGAGTCTGCTTTTGCTATATACCACCGAAGATACAGTACAAATACTAGTCCTAGATGGCCTCTAGCTCAACCAATGAGATTTCTTGGTCATAATGGAGAGATCAATACCATACAGGTTATAATTTTAGCTGTTCTTTTTTTTTTTTTTTTT